TCTAGAGAGAGCAGAATCCACAAAGTCATCTACATCGGGTTACTCATCATCTAAAACAAGTGGATCAAGGGATTTCGACTCTGATGTTGAGACTGTTATACATGATAATATGTAAGATAACTGCTGAATTTCAGTTCATTGATAAAGAAGGCAATGCCAATACTAATCAACCTTTTACTTTTCTGTTTGAAAACAGACAGGTGATCTGTGACATTTGTCGCAAAATTGCTGCTGTGAAGACCTGCCTGACCTGCAACGTTTCCTTCTGTGAGAAGGATGGCCGGCAACACTACAAAGTGCATGCCCTGAATAGACATAAGCTCATAGATGTGTGCAGTGAAGTCGAGAGAAAACGGTGTCTTCATTATGAAAAGTCTCTGGATTTCTTCTGCAGGACTGATCAGATGTCTATTTGCAGCATTTGTGCAGAGGGGAAACACAGGGGACATGACATCACTGAGCACAGGGCATGGAGGACACAACAGGCCGTGAGTCAAGTGAAAGGGTGATATCGAAATCATCGCTGATGTGCTGCATTTTGCTTACAATCGCTATTTAATTACAGGTGTCTGATGATGAAGAACCCGAGGACTATGAAATGCCACACAAAGGTGACTGACACTATATAATGATTCACTATGGCATCTAAGTAACAATGATCTGTGGCTACAATAAGAAATCAATGGAGAGATTCACCATTTAATTAAGTTTTGACACTTTCCTCTTTTCATATAATTTATATGAAATGAATACAGGGAAAAAGACTATCAAATTTTGTTCGGAAAGTTCAGTTTCAAAGCAGAAAACAGAAAGTAATGACCTTCGTTGATGAATATACATGGATGGACTGCTGACAGCTTATAGCTGAAATGCATTTATATTGCCATCTGTACTGAGTGTAAACTCTGTGATGTTGTTAGTTTTGTTAGAGATTCAAAAATGGTATTATCTTCCCTTAGATGTCTCAGCTGTTTAAAAGACATAGGATTTATTGTTACTTTTTTTCTCAGTGAGAAAACACCGGGGTCTGCACACTCTGTCTGTGCCTCACAGAGTTCCTCCAAAGACGTACCTCTCCAT